GCGTTCCCAGGGGGCTGGGTGCAGGGAGGCGGAGTTCCCCCCCCTCCCCCGCGAAGCGCGGAAGCTTTGACGTTTCATTAAATTATTAGAGAAAGAAGACGATTCGTTGGACCGTTCTCGATTCTTGATCCTTGTCTGAATTCTTGCCCCCCCCCCTCGAAGCGCGGAAGCTCTGATGTTTCATTAGATAATTAAAGAAAGAAGACGATTCGTTGTACCCCCCCTCCCCCCCCCCCCACTCCGAGAACGGACGGACCCCATGCGTGTTACCAAAATGTCCTTTTCGTAACAAAAGAAAAACGTCGACCCGTATTGACTTTACACACCGGACTTTTGCTGAAAAGGGGGGTGGGGTGCTGAAAAAGGCTCGTATAACAAAAGAAAAAGGTCGACCCGTATTGACTTTACATACCGGACTTTTGCTGAAAAGGGGGGGGGGGTCGCTTGGAACACGCATATGCGTACCCTAAATAACACTGAGTGGGGGGGGGGCGGGGTTGTACCGTTCTCGACTCTTAATCCTTGTTTGTAAAAAGTTTCTCTTCCTCCTCGCGTAGCGCGGAAGCTCTGACATTTCATTAGATTATTAAAGAAAGTAGACGATTCGATGTACCATTCTCGACTCTTAATCCTTAATGTTTGAATCAAGTTCCCCTTCCTCCGCGCGTAGCGCGGGAGCACTGACGTTTCATTAGATTATTAAAGAAAGAAAATGATTCGTTGTACCATTCTCGACTCTTAATCCTTGTCTGAATTCAGTCCCCCCCCCCCCTCCCCCCTCCCGCGCGAAGCGCGGAAGCTTTGACGTTTCATTAAATTATTAGAGAAAGAAAACGATTCGTTGTACCATTCTCGACTCTTAATCCTTAATGTTTGAATCAAGTTCTCCTTCCTCCGCGCGTAGCGTGGAAGCTCTGACGTTTCATTAGATTATTAAAGAAAGAAAACGATTCGTTGTACCATTCTCGACTCTAAATCCTTGTATGAATTCAGTTTCCCCGCTACCGCGCGAAGCGCGGAAGCTTTCTCCTTGTCTCCGATCTCATCACGAATTCGTCACAGAGTTCATCTATGTTTACACTGTCCAGGATTGTCTGATGTGCATTGCAGATTGCTAATTTTGCGCTTCGCGCTTAACATTTAGCTCGTTGCTTTTTAACGCTGCGTCTTTGCAATTGGCACACTGCATTTCTATGATGCTGTTGATTGAACAAATTGAATAAATTCATCAATTCCTGATGAAGCCGTATGAGCGAGAATTCAATTTATTCTTGTCTCATATACGGTTGTCTCATTTACTTCGTATATTATGTATGTATTATGAAAATGAGATAGCAAAATGTGTATATTGATGGTCATCTTGCGAGTAATAACTCTCATCGGGCTCTTATCATTATTTTTTCTTTTCATTTTTTTTTGTTTTTTGATGATGAATTATTGGGGGGATGATTGTACAGCCCCCCCCCCCCACCTGAAATATTGGGGGGGGGGGGATATATACCCCCCCCCCCCCCATCCCCCCCGGGATCGACACCCATGGTACTGGCACACTCAGCGTTCCATGATACTATATTCAAGACTCCATGACGTGCAGATGAAAATCGATTCCTATGAATCTGTTCAGGGAGTGTTCAGAAAGACTAAGATTGACTTTAAGTTGGACTTAACTATGGCAGGCCGTTTATGCTACTGTTTGATCTCACCATTTACTGGTATTGGCCTCTCAATGGATGTACAAATCAGGGTCACAAATTTACAAAATTAACATATTATTGATAATTCATTATTGAAGGAAAAATATTATCTAAAGATCATAATAGTGATAGCAACCAGTGGCACAAATGACCTGCCATAGTTAAGTCCAACTTAAAGTCGATCTTAGTTTTTGTGACCCCCCCCCCCCCGGTATATACATCAACAAATCATCAACGTTAGATCTGAATACGTGTCAATGTAGTTTGTTCTAGTTCCCCTATTTTTTGGCCACCTGTGAAGCTCATGCCCATTTCATAAAAAGTCATTTAAAATTATTTTGTGTCTATTGTGTGGAACACCACAGCCACCATAAAACTATTCATAGACCATTTATAGATGATTTCTAAAATAATTAACAATTTTCTAGGTGTAAACTTTTTTTTGACTCACACGGTAGTTCCTGCGTTCTGATTGGATAAAACTATACAACCATCTGATGGAGGTATAGTTGTAAGTAATATATAAATATGGCCTGTAAGGCCGGTCACTTATACAAAAGAAGAACAAAGTTGTAAGACAACATTTTTTCATAAAAACTGATTTAAAAAAAAAAAAAAAAAATAATAGTTGATGTATTGCCCTTTGCGACCGCCCAACAATTTAAAAATCTACGGTCGGTTCTTACCGTTTTTACGAAAAAAATGTATTAAAGCATTCAAAACGGAAAAATATCAGCCCAAACAGGGAAGAAAAATCAAAAAAGAAAAGAAAATCGACCGACCGTCCCAGCTGCTGGCACCTACATCGTCCAGAATCCGGCCGATTCTTCAAATTATACATTCCCTACAACGTTGATTCAAGCCGCCGAAGATGGCGTTATCAACGAACTTGTACTCTAAGCTCACCAGCCAAGCCGTACACGCGCCTATTTTCGTCATAAATTAATGATCACTCCAACTTCGGCTGGCAGCAAGTAAGTAGGGAAAGGTAGCATATTGCGTAGGTGTCAGTGGTAGAGATCAAAATTAAATAGGCCAGATTCTGGATTAGCACCTACAATACGACATCTTTTTTAAAGGCCTCATCAATGAATAAAAACGTAACATGCATGCTGCCCTCTATCAAGACAATCCTTTCTACAATTCGCGTTACTACTACTGCTACTACTAGTACTAGTACTACTACTACTACTACTACTACTACTACTACTACTACTACCACTATTACTATTACTACTACTACTTCTACTACTACTACTACTACTACTACTCTCTCTATCTCTCTTTCTTTCTTTAACACTTTTAACTTCTCTCTCTCAATCCCAGACACAGTCTTCTCTCCATCTCTTTATTTCTGTCCCCTCTCTCATTTTGTTCTAGACTACAATATGAATTGTTTAAAGCATTTTTTAAGTATACTTTGTACGGCCATGACGTCACATTGAACATGTATTTTCGTCCAGGGCAGCGTTCACCAAACCCTCAAAAGTAGAAGTTCGCCGACATCCCATTGAAACGCGTGTATTGAAGTTTACATACATTCCTATGGGATGTCATCAAACTTTTACCTACGACAGTTTCGTGAAACAACGCCCAGGGCCCTATTATGTACCAAGACCGATCAAAACAACAAAGAGCAAAGGGGTAAGCATGTCATTTCTCCGAACAGATTTATTTTGTTTCACTCGTATACATGAACATGTATGTCTACTCTATTGTAGTAACCTACAAGCCTATGTACATTGGAAAGATTGGAATCTTCAATCTAGGGTTAAAAAAAGAATATCATAACATCTTCTTCAATTGCAGTGTGGCCACCGTCAGGTGTATTGTCAAACTGAATTTTCATATAGAATATCGTATCGTGAATTTCATAGTCAAGCCCATGTTGAAAAGAAAGAGTGAGCAAGGATTACGGTTTATTATAGACGACGTATTGTGGTCGAGCGGTCCCTCATCAATGCCATCTAATCACTCTCGAACACCGTGTTCATCATTGGAGCCTAGATTACAGAAAAAAACAAATATTAATTAAGTAAAGCTTTAAAATCGTAAAGTACCGATTAGAACTGGAATGGTTCTGGCAGAGCATACCTACATTTATATTTACTGAAAAAAAGATTTGTCAACAAAGGTCTTCATACTTAATAAGTTATTTACAACCTCATACTAGATTACTAAGGGTTTCGTCATAATTCTGTCCCACCCTCATGGAAAGACCCAGATATGAACGCAACACTACCATGCCAGAACTCTAAAAAAAAAAAATCAAGATTATTGGACAACTTAAAACGTTTTTTTCACACGGGGTTATCCTTTAACTACATCGTTGTACATACAGTTTGTTTATTAAAAATATGTCCTTGAGAGATAAGAAAAAATAAGAAATACAAATGATGATGAAAATAAAATAACAAGCTTAATTTTGCATAACCCATGAAAGGGAAATATCAAAAACACTGCCTTTGCTCTGAAATCGAATACGCTGATTCTAGGCCAGAAAAGGGATGATAACTATTATGTATAACGTATTTCATAATCCATTTGGTAATCCTTGACAACTACGCTTGATCATGGTATGTTAATATTTACATAATTATGTTAGTTAGAACATAATTGCTATATTGTATAATATGGATACAAAAAATGATAAGGTAATCTTTGAATTATTTGAATGAAATTATGACTATATTTTATGTCATGCGTTAAACAAGAATCAAACAACTATATATGGCAAGAATGATCAAGTATCTACCCGTATACAAACAGAGCATTATATCGCTACAAACAAAGGCATATCTAAACTAGGATTATTTTCATATATCTTTGCCCTTAGCTATAGCTAAATATATAGTGACCAGAAGAGGTCTATGCTACTATTAAATAAAGAAAAGTTTGAAATCTGAAAAAAGCTGAACAACTTTTGGGGGATTTTTCATTATGTCATATCAGTTTGGAAGAGGTCAAAGTAAAACATTTCCCTGAAAAGGCTTGCTCTTCACTTGCTCTCATACTGACGATAAATTAATGTCGTGTTAAGACCAAACATTCATGTCACATTTGCGTGTGTGTGTGTGTGTAGTCCCATATACTCGCACATGTTGTCGGCGAGACTGAGTCAATTCCTTTTCATTTCGATTATTTCAAAGCCTCACAAACTGCACAATCAACCTTTCCCATTCGCTTCCCCATTGTTCAACTTCACAATGCAATTGACTTGATGTTTTCCTTAAATTTAAAGGCCAGATACCAGATACTTGTTAAATTTATATTAGTTTAATTATATCGACCACTCAATACATCTCCTCATTGTTTTTAGCAGCAGAGAATATTATATTCACTCCGACCTACGTCTGAGCTCCTTTCCTTCTTATTCCCAAAGCCCCAAAACAGGGTGGCTTCAAATCTTTTCAATCCAATGCCCCACGCCTTTGGAATAAACTCCCTACATTGCTCAGAAATAGTACTTCACTCGACTCCTTCAAGAAAAAAAAATCTGAAAACATACCTCTACAATTATTTCTAATGTATCCTCTGGAAAAGATGCTATATTTGTACATATCAACCCATTTATTACTATTATCATTATTATTATTATCCGTATTTGTATACTTTTTTCTTTCTTCAATAAATTTGAATTAAGCAAATCCCAAAACATAGGACACAATGAATACATTACTAATCACATAAACGTTTTTTTAAAAAATGCAATACATCTCTAATCTAAATACAACAATGTATGCACAAATTCATTTACTAGAAGTTATCAGCAAAGTCGAATAATCTTTGTAACTATATTTGGCTCAGGATAATTGTTTATGCTTTGAAAGATCATTTATCTAGCTCTTATCATTTGTGACTCTCTGGTGAATTAATTTTTTTCGACTTTGATCAAAATTTGAATTAACTCAATACATGGATCTGCATAATTATATCTTTCCCAGTTTCTTTCTTTTTCATAGCCACGGTGTCGGCGGGAAGTCAGTTTTTCTCGATCCTGGTAGAGTAATGTGTGGATTCTGTTGGTATACCGGTATCGGCAGGATCTATGGCATGCCCACGTGTCTGGTCGTATATCTTCAATGAGTAGTGAGAACCGCCTGCAGGTGTTGATGTTGAGACTGGTGTTCTGATGTCCCGAATGTCATGGTAGAAACCGGTATCCTTGTCATGCGAACTTGAGGCCTGGGCCAAAGTCATATCATCTGTGATGTGACCATGATTTGGGTCAAAATTCCTAAAAGAAAAAAAAGGGGCTAAAATAAATGGCCGAATAGGGACGAGTTGCATAAATCTAATTACTGTGAAGAAATTATGGACCTGATATTTCATATTTGATGAGAGGTGGAGTTACAAATTCTTGAGAATATTTCCCGAGTACATGATGTAATAAACATCAAACCTGAATACAGTATAAACGAATGTAATCAATATACTTGCACAACGTTTATATTCGCCATGCAATGTGCTCAAGACGATCCCATATTATTGTAATCTAGAAGACCTATATAAGCTACTTATTTCGGTGCTAACGGTATTCAGAGAAATTCCTTTATACCGGTAACCATTAGTACCTGGATGAAGAGTGGCAAATGTAGATTATGTCTTGGCGAGGATATAAGTGCCGAGTCGGGGCTCGAACCCACAACTTCCGCATCTCAATTCAAGTGTTTAAAACCACATGACTTCGATACCTCTACCACTACCTATGTGTGGTAGTGATGACACAATTGACAAATAAGATTGCTACTCTATTTTTCTTTTTTGGCGTCTTCTTTGACAAATAGGAAAAAAACGTTTATTCAGAAAATGTGATACTCACTTTCGAATTCGGAAGATGTATATTACCAAGACAATGATGGTCGCGATCAGTAAAATAATGACAACTCCTTCACCAACTCCAACACCCACACCTTCGGTAATAACATCGGAGGAAAAGCGAAAAAAATAAGATTCATATGGGAGTAGAGTAATACATGATGATATGAGATATTTTGGTAGAGCTTAGGCCTTAATTTGCTCTTCCAAGTATTACAGGCCCGTCCGTGTAATAAGCATACAATTTATAAATGATGATTGACTGGATTATTCATAAGACATATTCAAATATCTTCAATCGAATTCATTGTCGTTATGATGTTTTATTCAGAAATGTTCGTCCTTGTTTTTGTGTCTTGTTTCTTTCCTCCTCTTCTTCGTAATTTTTACAAATGAATGGATTAAAAAAAAAAAATCTTTCCTGATATATATTTCCAACCCTTTTTTAATCTCAGTTATACCATTATTAATGTAAGTTTGCAGTTTTTATATTAAAATCAGAAATAGGTAAAATTCTATATCGATTTCATCCCATGTAAGAAATTTAAGCGTAAAATCTGTAATTACAAGAACCATGGCCACTCTGTTGGAGCGTTGTGGGCGTGGACAAGGGTGTGGCCATTGATGATGACGTCACTGCATCCTTGGTATGACTGATCGGCTCTGAGCCTGGTTGACTGGTCACTTCGGTTACCTTCTCGGTTGAAACATGGGTTACCTTCTCAGATGACACGACGGCGGGTGTCGTCTCAACAGTCTCCACGTGAACTACATATACGTGAAACAGACGAGTTACAAGGTAAGTCTCTAAAGAATATTGCACATAGCCCAGCACAGTCTCGACGTAAACTACATATACATGAAACAGACGAGTTACAAGGTAAGTATCTAAAGAATGTTGCACATAACCCGTGGCAGAGGTCAACAGTAGGTCTACTTTTGAAAGTAGGGACTTTTAGATTTGCACGACGAGAACTTGGACTGCGACGTGTGACATCCTAATAAGAAAATGGGCTTAAAAGGGTGTCACATGAGCAGTCCAAGTTCTCGTAGTGCAAATCTAAAAGTCCCTAGTAATAGAGAGACGTCTTATCACTATGTGGCAAGCGCTGTAGAATACCATTTATATTGAACGAATACAAGCAGTACGTGAGTATATCACACGAGCTGATGAGCATATTTCATGAGTCGTTACGACGAGTGAAATATGCTCAAAAACGAGAACGAAATACACTGCATCACACTAAAGATCATGATGATCATGCTCATACTTATTGCAGTTAAAAAATACGGTTATGCCTTAAGCCCACCGCGCACTGTACACGATTGTTTTGTGATATAGTGGGCTTATTAATTAAAAAAAAAACCAATGGATGCGGCTGGTAATGTAATTTGTTTTCTTTAAAATGAGTAAAGACAGCGTCATTTCTTTATAGTTCAGTTTCAGTTTCAGTTTTTTTAATTTGTATTTCCTACATAACAACAAATGTAATCAATAGAGCGCCTTAAAAAAAATCAATCAAAAAATGAATGAACATTATTATAATGCATTTTGCAAATCATTAATCGAATTACAAAGAAAGTGTATACATTTCTTTTTTTTTCCGAAGGAAAACTGTGGAAATCAAGGGACTCACTGAGAAGCAAGGCTTGATGAATGTGGATCTCTCAAATAATGATAATCATCAATCTATGTTTGGTTGTGCGGTAGCTTTATCGTAAGTTTTATAAGCGATAATGATGTTGACGGATCGCACTACCAACGGTAGATGTATTTGTTAGTTTATTAAGTCTACATATACTCACTGGTGAAGATAGCTATGTATTGAAATCCACCACAGCTCTCGGTAGGGTCTCCTGTACATGGGACCTGACAGTGAGCATCTGTTCCCACTCCATGTCTAGTATAGTCATCACTGGTTTCACCACAGTAACATTGATCTCCATATTCAACGCCAGCGTATTTATAGTTCGCTGCGGTTGACTCTTTACAAAACTGGATGCAATAGGAAATGCTCATACTTGGATGACCATATAATCTATCACCACTAAGAAGTCGATCATCAGATTTGTCCACAAAGCACCCAAGATAGTCTTCACCTGTATAAAATAGGAAAGAATACCATGATGCTATGTTACAAAAGCGCGTTCCGCATTTAATTGCCTTGAATTGATATTGATAAATGCATAAAAGACTAAAGTCATGGCAGGATCAGCCAAAGATCCAAACCAAATCCAAGTGAACGGTACCAAAATGGAGCAAGTAGAGGAGTATATTTACTTAGGGCAACGTTTCTCCCTCCAAGACAAAAATCAAGACAACGGAATAAGAAGAAGAACCAAAGCTGGATGGCAAGCCTTTGGCAGATACAGCACCATCATGAAAGGCAAACTTCCATTATGCGTGAAAAAGAAAGTATATAACCAGTACATCATCCCAGCAATCTCATACGCTGCAGAAACAGACAGAAAAACGAACAAATGGATCAGGAAACAGACAAAAGTCCAGGACATCCTTGAAACAGTGAAAAAAAGAGAAGCGGGCCACATCAGCCGTATGAATGACAATCGCTGGAGCTCAGCAATCACTCACTGGACACCATATGAGGGAAAATGAAACAGGGGACGGCAAAAAAAAAGATGGCGAGACGAGCTGCAACAGTTCTGGTGACAGACAAATTGGCACCAGCAGGCGCTGAACAGAGGCATTTGGAGACATCATGCTGAGGCCTTCATCCTGCTGTGGATTGACAACGGCTGATAAAGTAAAGTAAGTAAAGTAAGACTCGTTACAAAACTGGATGCAATAGGAAATACTCATCGATGTACTGGTGTTGTTGGCGCCCAATACAATACCCCTGACAATGAGACTACGGTTATAAACATTGGTGGGAGAAGTAGTGAGCTGGGGGCTACAACAACCGATAATTGTTAATGTGTAACTATTTTGAGGCACCTCATATTTCGGCATCGAAGGGGGGGGGGGTGAATATTTGGTTGTAAAATCATCTTTTATATATTTTTGTGACATTTTCATTTCAGTAAACCGTCAAAATATTTGCACACTATTTAAAACTTTGAAGGGACTTTCTTTGTTGGAATGTCAAATGGATCGCATGGGACCAAGCATATTTTGCTATGAATGTTTTTGGTGACCAAGCCGGTATTATCTAGAATATCAGCTTAAAAGTTTTATCTTCTTTACAGAAATTTCGAATGACGGTATATATTTAAGCACAATTAATTGACGCGTCTGAATACGGACGCATTCTAAGGGAACTAAGCATTACATTGGTCAGACAGATCCGGTGCGCGGAATTTAGATTTATCCAATGTTTTTTCATAGTCCTCCACTGTTAACCAATAGCTATAGTGGTAGAGTTTGCTTTTTAGTTGATTCTGTACGTAGTCGATATACACATTTTTTTTGTATTTATTTATTTTGTATGAAAGAAAGAGACGGGGAAGGAGAAACGAGGATTACTGGTATCTTTTGGAGATCTTCCATCAGTAAATGAGTTTCGGTAACGTTTCCCTTCTATAAACACTTTTCAAAGATGTCCCATATTTTTCAGATTTGGCAAGAAATTGATGATGACATAGCTCTCAGTCTATAATATTGTCATATTAAAGTGATGTGATGACACGAAATGATGGTGATGAATCCATTATTATAAACCTACAAACGTATTTGCAGTTGGACAATATATAAAACGTCCCATCGTCTAATAATCTCTTGCCAGATAAATCACAGGACACTGGTGCCGTAGAAGATTTTGCACCCTTTCCCATATTTTCACCTTTACCAACTTTTCTAACAGACCAAGATGCATGTTATATCCGTTTCTCAGATCGTTGTCATATTGGTATTGGGCACAAAGCGTGATTTCCGTTAACATGCAGCAACGACGGGAGAACAAACTTTTAAAGCTTATTAAACCAAAAACTAAGCCAACGAAATTTGATTTGGTGCCGTTATTTGAATTTATGGCTTAATTTATCGTCTGACTCTCTCTCTTTCTCTCTATTTCTTTATTTTCACATAATGCGATACATTTTGTGTAATGTTATTTCACGAGCAAAGGGCGGTGTTATCATTTCACCAGAATAATTACCATAACACGAAGCTGCTCCTGCCTTAAATGGGCATTGATATTGTATCAATTTACATCCTGATAATGCAGCTTCATCTGAAATATACACAAAATGTAAAGAACATGAGATGAATGTACGATGCAATTTAAGCACAAAATATATTCAAACTACCTTGGAAAATATATTCCATATAATACGTGAACTAATGCGCTGGGGGAAGCAACCCTTAAATCAAAGGGCAAAAGCGTCATTCGCACTCATTTAATTCAGAGCGGTTACTTTGAAGAATATTGGAAACATCAAACCAAATACATTTTATTAAAATGATAAAATGTAAAGTAAGACTAAGAGTTGTGTACCAGCAAGAGAAGGATTAATGTACGTGCCCCGCCCCCTACTCTTCCAATCGCAAACCAGGGTCGATATCCGTCATGTTCGTACTGGTAAGATGATAATCTGGTAGAAGGCTAGTAGCCCCTACACCAAATACAAAATAATGCAGTCTATTTGTACTCATCATTTTAAAAGGTTGCAAAAGAACAACAAAACATGTCAAATAATGTCATTAGACTCATTAGTTTCCTTACAAAAATGATTTATTTTCCAGCTTAAAGGAGAGCTTGAAACTATGCGAACTCAGGTTAGCCATGTGTAACACTGTTTTACTTTGACAATATACAAACCAACATGACCAACGTGTTTTCGAGGTCATGTAGCATACTCGTAAGTTGTTTTCGTTTTCTACCAGTCGTGGTAAACAGGCAGGATAGGCAATACCGTGTTCAAGAGTTAAAACAAAATATGTCTTTACCTCCATTACAAAGTAACCCTCTGTTATAATCTGAATTCTGTGCATAAGGTGTGTCTGTTATTGCTCTGCTTGCTCCTGCGAATCCCAAATATCTGCATATGACAGTGACATCACTGATACCAAGATCTATTCCACATGTTGTCTCCCACGGCCCGTTGTCTCTCCCGATCTCAACTGTACCTTTATTGGAGGTCGGACCACCAACAAGTCGTACATCTGTTAACATTAACATGTGTACAATGTAAGGTGCATGGAACTAACAAAGCATGACGATTGCTTATTCTAGGCTTGTACTTGCGTCTTAAAACTGGAGCAAACGGTAGCCAGATAAAGCAACGACTAGGCTTCTCACAAGCAAATTCTCAACCAGCATATCAATAGACTCAACTTTGGTTGGTAAAACAATTAGCTTTTATTTTCTAGACACTGTTTGCTGAATAAATATAAATTACACGAACAAAAGATACTAAATATTGGCCAATGACAGCGTATTCGTTGTCTTTAATTCCATATACACGTTGCCTACGAAGCTTTATGTTATGCAGGAGAACTACAGCAACGACTGGAGCGGTCTTTGACGCGTAATGTGAATGAGACTTCGGAAAACTAGTCAATGCAAAAGTGAACAGGGTAAACACATTACGCAGAATTATGGTAAATTCATTATTTTATAATTTGCATCTCGTGATCAATGGCCATTAAGTATCTTTCATGGTTTTGTTTAATTTTGTTTATATTTTGTATGACCTGCCTTAATTGACCCTGTGTGGGCAACTAGCCCATGCACAACCTAATGAAACCATTCTTTGCAATCTTCATTTTACTATCACTTTTTGTACGATATCACTTTAACGTGGAGTTTCAGAGACCCCATCACGTGGGACTTTTAGATTTGCACGTCGACATAATGGACTGCTACGTGTGACGCACATCGACATAGTGGACTGCTACGTGTGACGTCCTCATCACACGTAGCAGTCCACTATGTCGACGTGCAAATATAAAAGTCCCAAATAACCATCGTGTACAACGTGCATTGGTTACCTGTTATGACACATCTGACCAGGTGATCGCTGCACTGCGTCAAAAGAACCCCCAGGAATACAAAGATGATGCGATGCCAATCCATTTCGAGTAACAGTTACGAATCACTGGTGAATCTGCAGATTGAAATCGGAGTTGAATGTTTTACTGGCGTGAACAGTGAGCAACACAATCTTGAAAATAATGCGATCTCTAACAGAACAGGGTTGATGTGGGTACGCTTGATAGACAAAGCGACAATGCGAGCCGCAGCGTTTTGAAGCTTCTTGAGCTTGGACAACAGATTCAGGGTAAATTGAACAGAATGAGTGGTCTGATGTTACAGGTATAACCTGGGGTTTTTAACACAGAGCTCGATCATCAGAATTCCGCACCATGAGGACATCAAGAATGTGACCCTTGTCACAAATAGCGTAACTACTAGACTACTGAGGAGATCATTATACTTTTGTGTGTTAGGTGAAGAGCAATTGTCCAGGTAAATGTCCAAAACGCCGGTATCGACAAAAGGTGGGGTTCTGTACATTCTGCCATTTAGAAAGTAAAAGCTTTCTTCCAGAAATCTAGAGAACCTCTGACCACGAGGCGGCCTGTAAATTACCAAAATGTTCATGCATCTGGAAATAGTTGCAGACATAAATTAAAAACTGTCGACTTCTCAGGTGACGTGATGACAACATAAGAACTATAGGGCAGAGATCAGCCACGACTGCATCATCACCGGATGACAGCCATGTCTCACAAACACAGACAAAATCTAACTTGTGATCAATAACAAAGTCTTGAAATATGCTTGCCTTTTTGCGGAGAGAGCGAGAGTAAAGAGCACCAAATTTAAAGGTAAAGACCAGTATTGGAAACGCCCCAATTTCAAAAAATGAAATGGAATTAGCTCTTTATTACTAATCATGTGAAAGAATATGTTTTGACTAATACAAACATTTTGCCGGGAAACCGCCTACTAATTGATATATTTGGTTAATTTAGTTTATCTACATGATCTGTGAGAGATAAACGCACGTGTCGTGCACGTGTGCGTATAGTCCCATATACATCTTTCTGTGTACAGTGCTTGTAACTTTACGAAGACTGGGCCAAATTTCTTATCATGTTTATGATTCCAGAACCTTGCAGTACACATCAATACTTATATGCTAGATGATCAACCTTTTCTGATCGATTCCACAACGTTTCTTTCACAATGCAATCGTATGGCCATAACTGGTCTTTACCTTTAAGGACTTCCTATTAACGACCACACCCTCTCCTTCTACCACGATGTGTCCTCAGCCATGGACATGTTCTACTGACCCCAAAATACACCAGCTGATCCAATACAATGCGGTATTCCACACGCCATTTTACAGAGGGACGACCATCCCTAAGATTAAGGACAGAAGAGTTTGACTATCATAGGTGAAATTTGTAGTCAATTAAGAATCATCCTCAGAAAAGGTTGGTCCTTGAGAGGAAGGCACAGGGTTGGGGGTGATGTCTCCCGAGATCAGTAGTAGAATGCGAAATTTTGTCAAAGAATTTGAATACCCTTGGATGGGGATATCAATGTACATGTACCTTCCCTTTTGTTGTACAGCTACATTACAAGAATCGGTAGTGTATTAAACGTACAAGTGCAGTACATGATTCAATAGTATGATAATAACTACACACACAATAGGTACAAAATATATGAAGGCTATCAGGCTAGCGACGTTTATTGTGAAAATTCGCACAACCGTGCACGCTGTGCACTACATGTGGAGTAAGAATATAACAAGCAAGTGAACATGGGTACTTACTTCACAAGTGAGGCAGGGTAAAATCCCAATCCTTTAAATGCAAAATATATTAAAAACACCGCATGAATTTTTTCCAAAATAGTCCAGTAGCCTCCTGAAGACGTACACATTCAGAAAACGTAACTAGAGAACAAATTCAGAACTCTGTGGGCGAGCAGCCACCGGGCGCGAGCAACCCATTGGAGACAAAGCTGACTTCCGCCTATGATCAAATGCATTGATTTAAGTGCTTTTAACAGCTATTATCACTTGTTATTGATAACTTATTTTGTGACACAGGGCACAGAACACAGTTTGCATGCTATTCTGGCGATCCTTTTTACGTGTGCGTATAGTCCCATATATAGCTTTCTGTGTACAGTGCTTAATTGTAACTTTACGAAGGCTGGGCCAAATTTCTTATCATGTTGATGATTCCAGAACCTTGCAGTACACACCAATACTTATATGCTAGATGATCAACCTTTTCTGATCGATTCCACAACGTTTCTTTCACAATGCAATCGTATGACCATAACTGGTCTTTACCTTTAAGGACTTCCTATTAACGACCACACCCTCCCCTTCTACCACGATGTGTCCTCAGCCATGGACATGTTCTACTGACCCCGAGATACACCAGCTGATCCAATACAATGCGGTATTCCACGCGCCATTTTTTCAGAGGAACGACCATCCCTAACATTGAGGACAGAAGAGTTTGACTATAGGTGAAATTTGTAGTCAATTAAGAATCATCATCAGAAAAGGTTAGTCCTTAAGAGGAAGGCACATGGTTGGGGGTGATGTCTCCCGAGATCAGTAGTAGAATGCGAAATCTTGTCAAAGAATTTGAATACCCTTGGATGGGGATACCAATGTACCTGTACCTTCCCTTTTGTTCTACAACTACATTACATGAAATCAGTAGTGTATTAAACGTACAAGTGCAGTACATGATTCAATAGTATGATAATAACTACAACACACAATAGGTACAAAAGTTATGAAGGCTATCAGGCTAGCGACGTTTATTGTGAAAATTCGCACAACCGTGCACGCTGTGCACTACATGTGGAGTAAGAATATAACAAGCAAGTGAACATGGGTACTTACTTCACAAGTGAGGCAGGGTAAAATCCCAATCCTTTAATTGCAAGATATATTAAAAACACTGCATGAAATTTGTCCAAAATAATCCAGTAGCCGCCTGAAGACGTATACATTCAGATAAAGTAACTACAGAAAAAGTTCAGAACTCTGTTGGCGGGCAACCCATTAGAGACAAAGCTGACTTCCGCCTATGATCAAATGCATTGATTTTAGTGCTATAAATAACAGCTATTGTCACTTGTTATTGATAACATATTTTGTGACACAGGGCACAGAACACAGTTTGCATGTTATTATGGCGCTCCTTCTTTTCATTTCACAATTCACGATTTCTATTTTATCTTTTTTTTCTAACCCTACATTAAAGATAAGTCTTGTATAAAAGAAATGAATGAATAATTGGCGGCATGAATCCTTTCAGATTCCACTTTCAAAGTTCTGCTCGATCGGTATTGCAGTTTGTAATCAAAGTTTTCCAAATCGAATTAAACCATTCGGAAAACGTGTAACAAATTTGAGCCAATGGTATCTTTGATTATAGAAAGAATAACAATAGCCGAAAAATTGGTTTGATGGTTTGTTTTACTGGACTGCTAAGAAAGCATGTGTATGCTTGATAATAATAATAATAATATTTAATTTGTATATAGCGCTTAATACAAATGTCTCTAAGCGCTTTACAAATATACTATTACCCCAGTCATTGGATTCAGTGCTTGCCCGCACACAATGTAAGCAACCGAGACACATCGTATTTTGTAGCAAATGGTACTGTTCTATATATTCAATGTTATTGTTATTTTTTTAGCTAATAGGAGCCACAAATAGAAAAGTCTACTTTCTCTTTCTCTCTCTCTCTCTAGACAGGAGAGTCACATTTAAGATCTATTATTTTAGAATGGAAATCCATTCCAGGTTCAAACGAGTGCAATTAAGTCTTAAAATGCTAATTCAAACTACTAACTTCTAGTCGATTCCACTAAGGTTTTTTGGGGGAGAGTTCAACTCGAAAATGAACTGATCCCTACAGATTATGACTCTGCAAGTGTGTATCTCACTGAGTGGCGAATGCGTACGAACATTGCGAATTTTTGATTCGCCATCCTTTCTGACGATGATTGGCGAAAATCAGGGTTCACCTCTGCCATTAGCGACAATAAGCCAGTTCATAGATACAATCTGCGCATGGGCAGATAAAGGTCATTTGAACCAAAAAGATAAAAACCACGGAGATGAATACTGGATATGCGCTCATGAAAGTTATGTAACATTATTCATTTATGCACCAACGGTACATTCTACGATACGCAGGTGGAAGTATTCTTCTCAAGTGGCAACAAAAGGTATTCATGAAGCACCTCCATTACTTTGGCAGTGATTATTGCAAAATGCACAGGTGGGAAGTATCCATCGTGTCTAAGATCTGTGGATATTTTGGGGTCATGCGTTCCAGAGCTATTTACGAACTCGCTTATTTATTAGCAACATTTGTGCGAATGTTTGCGAAAATGTTTGCGAAAGGCAGTTGGCGACTTTTAGCGACTGTAATCGATATTACCGGTAATTTTTGCGAAGATTAGCAACTATTTGCCAATCCCTGCCACTATTTGGGAATGTTTGTGACCTTCTGCTTACTCCTGGTAAAGTACCAGGGGGAGCTATGGACCCAAGGGTGAGCAACCTTCCCCAGCAGTCAGATTTATATAGGAACCATATGGTCACGTGGTCGCTAGCATTGGCGAATAAAACGGAACTTCAGCGACACCGTCTTACAACCGTTTGCAAAAGCATGCGACTGTTTCGCAAACGCTTGCAACTGTTTAGATAACAAATTCTTTGCAACAAGAAAAACAAGAAAAACTGTTTGCGACAATGAAAGCTGTTTCTTGCAACCTTTTACGAACCCTGGCTGCCTGGCAAAAGCCCAAAGTTCGCAAGCATTTGCTGCTCAGTGAGATTTAGAGGGTATTCCCACTTCTTTTTATCGACCCGTTGATATCTGTATTCTTAAACCCCCCATATAGGGGTGTATAGGCCTTCACACAGAAAAAAATGTTATTGTGATCAAGATCTCGTTTACCAGCACAATAGTTAATTCAATCAAGGGAAATAATAACTTGATATATCTTTTATGATGTTAACTTCTCTTAGTACAAATGAAGTCAATGAAATCAGTCAAGAGACAACAATAACTTGATATTTCAGATCAAATATTCCTTCCTTCATAAAATTAGATTCTCTTCATTTGAAGCAATGAGGTGTCATTCATAATTCTCAGTACTGACACAACACATGTTCCTTAACTGCTATATGCAAGACTCTATGACGTGCAAATGAATATTTATTCTAGTAAATCTGTCTATACATCAACAAATCATCAGCGATGATCTGAATAATTATGTGTCATTGAAATTTGACCATACAGCTAGTGCCCCTCTTTTTCTGCCCTCTGCGTAGTCCAGAATATGGCCTATTTAATTTTGATCTCCACCACCCACCAACTCTACATACTCCCTACTTACTTGCTACCAGCCGATGATGGCGTGATCATTAAATTAGGACGCCCGGCGGCGCATATTTTTTTTACACAACTGTTTAGCCATTTTCGCGAAAAATTCCAAGAAGTGCTCTGGTGAAAGAGTCTAGTTCGTCGCCGCACTATTATGTGCAAGCATGTACACCCAGGGAAGGGAAGATCGTAGAAAGGGGAAAACAAGGATAGTGGTGAGGATATGGAGAAGGAAAAACAAGGAAATGCATAAGGAAAGAGAAGAGGATAAATCAAAGAAAGAACATAGTAATACATAATTGAAGAGCTAAGACGATCATCGATCTAGATTAAGGAAAAACAGGGAAATACATACTAGACGGGAAAAGGGAATCTATCAGATTAAAACAAAGAAATAGATGACGAAGGAGAAAAGGATAGATTGAAGGAGAAACAAAGAAATACATAAAACAAAAGAGAAGAGGTTAGAATAAAGGAGAACAAAAGAAATACATAACGAAGGAGAATGGGGGATAGATTGAAGGAAAAACAAAGAAAATAACGAAGGAGAAAAAGGATAGATTGAAGAGGAAAAAAAGAAATACATGACAAAAGAGAATAGGATAAATTGAAGGAGAACACAGAAATACATAATGAAAGAGAAGAGAGGATAGATTTAACCCGAAACAAAAAACGAGTATGTACACATGTACAGCTCCAGCAATCAAACAAAACTGCTAAGGGTAATGCTAGACTCTGTCTATAGTTGTTTGCACAGTATATTTGACTGAAGTGGCTAAACAGTTGTGTAAAAAAAAATATGCGCCGCCCGGCGAAAGGCTAGTGAGCATAATTATGAGTTTGTTGATAACGCCATCTTCGACGGCTTGAATCAAGTGTGTAGGGAAATTATAAAGGACCGTGCAGATTCTGGACTACCCTCTACGAAGCTCCCAATTATTTTGTGTCTATTGTGTGTAACACCACAGGCCTAACAAAAAACAATGACAATTCACAGTTGAGAACTTTACAATACATGGTTTTCATATAAATCCGACGCAATATCATAACAATACGCCATCTTCGACGGCTTGAATCAAGTGTGTAGGGAAATTATAAAGAACCGTGCAGATTCTGGACTACCCTCTGCGAAGCTCCCAATTATTTTGTGTCTATTGTGTGTAACACCACAGGCCTAACAAAAAACAATAACAATTCACAGTTGAGAACTTTACAATACATGGTTTTCATATAAATCCGACGCAATATCATAACAATACGCCATCTTCGACGGCTTGAATCAAGTGTGTAGGGAAATTATAAAGGACCGTGCAGATTCTGGACTACCCTCTGCGAAGCTCCCAATTATTTTGTGTCTATTGTGTGTAACACCACAGGCCTAACAAAAAACAATAACAATTCACAGTTGAGAACTTTACAATACATGATTTTCATATAAATCCGACGCAATATCATAACAATACGCCATCTTCGACGGCTTGAATCAAGTGTGTAGGGAAATTATAAAGGACCGTGCAGATTCTGGACTACCCTCTGCGAAGCTCCCAATTATTTTGTGTCTATTGTGTGTAACACCACAGGCCTAACAAAAAACAATAACAATTCACAGTTGAGAACTTTACAATACATGATTTTCATATAAATCCGACGCAATATCATAACAATACGCCATCTTCGACGGCTTGAATCAAGTGTGTAGGGAAATTATAAAGGACCGTGCAGATTCTGGACTACCCTCTGCGAAGCTCCCAATTATTTTGTGTCTATTGTGTGTAACACCACAGGCCTAACAAAAAACAATAACAATTCACAGTTGAGAACTTTACAATACATGGTTTTCATATAAATCCGACGCAATATCATAACAATACGCCATCTTCGACGGCTTGAATCAAGTGTGTAGGGAAATTATAAAGAACCGTGCAGATTCTGGACTACCCTCTGCGAAGCTCCCAATTATTTTGTGTCTATTGTGTGTAACACCACAGGCCTAACAAAAAACAATAACAATTCACAGTTGAGAACTTTACAATACATGGTTTTCATATAAATCCGACGCAATATCATAACAATACGCCATCTTCGACGGCTTGAATCAAGTGTGTAGGGAAATTATAAAGGACCGTGCAGATTCTGGACTACCCTCTGCGAAGCTCCCAATTATTTTGTGTCTATTGTGTGTAACACCACAGGCCTAACAAAAAACAATAACAATTCACAGTTGAGAACTTTACAATACATGATTTTCATATAAATCCGACGCAATATCATAACAATACGCCATCTTCGACGGCTTGAATCAAGTGTGTAGGGAAATTATAAAGGACCGTGCAGATTCTGGACTACCCTCTGCGAAGCTCCCAATTATTTTGTGTCTATTGTGTGTAACACCACAGGCCTAACAAAAAACAATAACAATTCACAGTTGAGAACTTTACAATACATGGTTTTCATATAAATCCGACGCAATATCATAACAATACGCCATCTTCGACGGCTTGAATCAAGTGTGTAAGGGAAATTATAAAGGACCGTGCAGATTCTGGACTACCCTCTGCGAAGCTCCCAATTATTTTGTGTCTATTGTGTGTAACACCACAGGCCTAACAAAAAACAATAACAATTCACAGTTGAGAACTTTACAATACATGGTTTTCATATAAATCCGACGCAATATCATAACAATACTCGTTAAATAATTGGATGCTTAATGCCCAGTCAACCTCGCCAGTGCATTGCGACCCTCTTTTCCACGTCAATGGCAAAACACTCGCACTAAATGTACGATAAATTATACACTGTACGTTTGCCAACGAGCAATTAAGACGTCGAACGTGTTATTATATTGTGTCATTTGAGTCAGGAGCATACATCTTCAAAGTTCAATCTAGCCGTGGTCTGACGTGCCTATACAATGTCTGTCGAAGTCGTTCAGAAGAATGTCGGCTATCTTTTGGAAGGACCGCATTGGGACCCAGCTTCAGGAACCCTTCTCTATGTCGATATCTTAGGACAGATCGTCTACAGATACAATCCTGAGACGGGGAAGACCATGGAAGTCAAGATAGGTGAGCATGAGACATCATGCAATCTAACAATATCATCATAGCTAGGCTACTATTTATTTGAGTTGTGTCTTATCCTCGGTACGTATACAGGGGTGTGGGTATTTATGTTGTAACACATTATATGCTGGAAGTAAGATAGCAAGCACTGAGAATTGAATGACCAATACTTAGCTTAGAAGCATTGAGATGAGCATCACAATTTGGCTATGAGCATGAAAGACACTGCAGGTCAATGTTTGTTGATCGAGATATCATCTACCAATATCATAAGCTTCTCATTTACCACAAACAAGTTATTTTGTTATCCCAACTATATATATTATATATATATATATATATATATATATTATTGAGTAAGGGAGACTAAAGGGACATAGTTGCAACTCCGAGTTGCACGCCTTGCAAGCGATCATCAGGCAACTGATAGCATTCTTAAAAGTACATGTATTGATTACTCTACAACCTGGGTACAAATACGCACAAAATAAGACCTAACTATTAAGCAGTGAGTATGGGGACGGCCATAGGGTTTGTAGTTTTGTACACAATATGGCCCGAATTCACAAAGCAAGGTTTGAGCTCAAACCTTGCTTTGTGAATTCGGGCCTTTGTGTTCGTACTTATCAACTATTTCTAATTGAATCGTGTACAACAGTTTTGCCATAGTCTATTTTCGAGAAAAACGGACTTATAAACAAGCGTGTCTATTGTGACTTTATGAATACTGGATAGGTATCTTCATTTTGGAACTGACTTTTAACATGCGTGTCTATGGAATTTTGACTCTTTGAATTTCCTTCTATATACTTTGTGATTGACTTTCTGAGGAATGTTTACAACGCCGTTGTAGGTCAGGTCAATAGAATTTTGTAGGCCGTTGTCAATATCTATTGTTCGATCAAGTAAATAAAGGAAAAGGGATTTTTCCCATACTGTGATCCTCGCATGGCAACACGAGGAAGCGTATTGTAGCATATGTGTACAGGGTATTGAATTTTTGTATAGGTATACGTGTATTTTGTATCTGAATTATGCCTACCTCTTTTCAGCAATAGTACAGTTGTTTCTTATTGATAGTGCATTGACTTTATGAACCTCTCAACAGACTTTGGACTTTCACACAACACTTTGATATATTCATGGCTGTGTTTGAACTCTCTCAAAACATCATTCTGGACATACTTTGTATGTTGTACGACTATTCTGACGTAGAATACACACATCAATGAAGTAAAACACTATGTAGTACAGAAATTTTACTTTATTTTATTTGATTTGTTTCCGTATCAATGTGTACAACTTCATGCAAAACAGATTTAAAGACAAATATAACAATTACAATTTAGTTATGTTACAAGGGAACAGAGATAAAATATATAAAGCATTTGTAACTACAGAAATAGAACCTAAGTCACAATACTATATTATTTTATCGTGAATATGTAACAACTGTAAATTGTACAGCAAACATAAAGGCCCGAATTCACAAAGGAGGTTTGAGCTCAAACCTTGGTTTTCGTACGTCATATGACGCGTTTTACGTGTTTTTTACAAACCTGGTTTGTAAAGAACAAAAGGAGGTTTGGCGAAACAAAAGGAGGTTTGAGCTCAAACCTTGCTTTGTGAATTCGGGCCATAGTGTATAAGTATAAATATTTTCAAAACATAAAACATATAGCAAAGTTTTCTTTATTTTTATGACCCGTACAGGTATGCACGTTTAAACTCAGAAAGGTCGATTGATGTACAACATGTTGAACTAGAGTAAATTTGTAATATATATTATTGTCTACGAAGAGCTTTTTGTAAAGGTGATTTCAAGCCTTAGTTGTCGCTCCCATCTGAACTCTCCGTCTCCTCTTCGCTATCATCGTCATTCTCATCCTGATACTGCTGGAATAAGCCCTCGAGTTGCGGACCGTGTCTTGCTAAGACTCTTTGCACTGCTTTCCGAAGATTCATGCCATTTTTGTTTACTTTTTCCGTGAGATCAGACATAATTTCACGATTGATGTCAGCTCCTCCAAGGTACACGTTCTGCTGCAAGAAGTTGGAGTAAAGATCGAAAAAGCTGCGTTTGATAGCCCAAATAACTTTCACGTGAGCCTTTTCTTTGGCTTCTTCTTCGTCCATTCCCTCGGAGATATAAGGCTCTTCGTGAGTTATTTTGCACTACGTCACCAATTGACAACGCCTTTAAACAAGATTGACACCCAGGGAACTCTTTTTTTCTTCTCGATTTTACGCCCTGAACAACATATGATTATTTTATATTTATCATCTCATGATTTATCTTTTGCATCTTATTTGTAATTGATCATATTTATATCTCATGTCATTTATGTTTATCTGTGTATAGTTATGTATCGTACCATCAACTATAAATGAGGAGAGCCTCCTATAGAAACTCAGATTTTGTTTGTAATCCTCAGGCAGTTATGGCTTTTTCCCCTGTTATTGTATTTATTATTGCAATTCGTTTTCTTGTATTCATTGTTATTGTTATACTCCTTTATGTTCCTGGAAATGAAATTAAAAAATAAATGAAAAATAAGCGACCTCTCCGTGTGTATGGGACCCCAAATGACCAAACACCTTGAACTTGCTTATTTATTCCTCCACCATGACCTTTGCTCTGGTCATAGGTCAACAGGTCGGTGCCGTCGTACCCACTCGTAGCGGGCGTACTCTGGTTGCAGCGGCTCATGCGATAGGGTTTCTCGACTGGGAGACAGGAAAGATCGATACGCTGGTTGAAGTTGAGAAGGACAGGGCGGAAACGAGATTCAATGATGCCAAGTGCGACGCGGCCGGGAGATTCTGGGTCGGTAAGTCTGCAAGAAAAAGAAAACGAATAACCCCATGCATATACACACTCGACTGTTACCAATAACTACTGAATCATTTTTTTCTTACCTCTTTTCATGAAATGACTGTTACGCTATGATTTATTCTTGATAGAATCTCAGGACTTTTTTATAATCAATCTCATGACGGTGCTAAATTTGAACCTTGAGATACGTGGTGCAATTAATAAAATAGGGAAACAAAAGCCCCATGCATTCTCAAACTAAGCGTCTGTATGTATTTCAATTTTCTCGTGTGTATGCAGGTACGATGGGATTCAAGAGTTTACCCCCTGGTCTGAATGAAAGTGTCCTGCCTGGTTTGGCGTCACTTTATTGTCTTCATCCAGATAAGACTCTGACTACAAACCTACAAGATGTAAGTCCACACTCGTTTACCTCATTAGTTCAGTCCAGTTCAGTTCATTTTATTCAAAATTACACAAAGCATGATATAATCTGTTACATAAAAAGAGACTGGTAATAGTACATCAATCAACATATTCTAACTTGATTAAATCATAATAGATAGTCCATATCTAGACCCGCGCTACGGCGGGGTATAGAGGGCTCGAGCCCCCATACTTAAAAAAAAAAAAGGATGTTAAAGAGAAATAGAGAGATACCAACCAAAGCCCCAGCAAAAAATAAAAAATAAAAAATTCCCTGCTAAATGCGAGACCACATTTACCAAATGCGCAAAAGGGCATACCTAATTCAGCAAAAAAGCGCGAAACAATAGGAAGTACAAGAAGTAAAAACACGGAGGCATCGTCAAGCATATCGGCAAAGCTTCCGAATTCGGCAGTTTGTGGATTCAATAAATCTGCTTATTTCAATCTGCGCATATATGCGAATTTAACGAAACAAAATTCCTCGCATGCACTTCGTTATTAGTGTCACATATTTGTGGCAGATTTGTTTTGTTGAGCAATATATAACGGAAAGGGTCGCGCTAAGTTGTGTTTTTGCGTCCCGGACTCACCAAAAAAAAAAAAAATCTCACGCACAAATTTTGCCAAAGCCGTGAGTAATTGCACAGTGTCCCCCACACTTTTTAGGTACCCCTAGAGGGCCCCTTTTTACATAGCTAAAGTGCCCCCTTTTACTTCAGATAAGTGCCCCCATTTATTTATAATAGTTGTACGTTCCACGTTCTTAAAAGAGCCTCTTACCACCTCTGATAATTAAGTGCCCCCTTCACTTATGATAATTGCCCCTATTCAAATCTGAGAGGTGCTCATTTTACTTTAACAAGTGCCTTTTTCTTTTTTAATAAGTGCCATTTCTCACCTCAGATAAGTACCTCCTTTTATTGTGACACGTGTGACCTTTTTCTTTGTAATAAGTGCCCTTTTCCTTTCTGATAAAGCCTCTTTTCTTTTTTAATAAGGGTCACTTCCCTTTCTCATAATGCCACTTCTATTAAAATCTCTTAGATGCCCGTTTTCCTTCGTTATAAGTGTCCCTTTAATTTATTACAAGTGCCCCTATTCATCTCAGTTTAGTGCCCATTTTCAGGTACAAGAAATGCACCTTCACCTCTTATAATTGCCTCTGTTCAATTCTGAGAGATATTCCTTATATTTTGACAAATTTCTCTTTTCCTTTGTATGCCCTCTTTTCATTCTATTAAGTGCCCCTTGTCATCTCTGATGAGTGCCCTTATTCAAATTGAGAGGTGCACCTTTTACTATGTAATAAGTGCCCCATTCGATGTCTGATAAATGCCCCTTTTATGTTGACACTTGCCTCTTATCCTTTCTAATAAGTGCTTTTGTCCTTGTGATAATTGCCCCTTTCCTTTGTCAAAGGTGCCCTTTTCCATCTCTGATGAGTGCCCCTTATTAAGTGCGAGGAGTCCCATATTTTTGCCTCTGGTAATTCCCCTTGTTCCCCTCAATTTACTATGACATGTGCTCTTTTTGTCCTAATAAGCGTCCATTTACCTTGGTATAAATGCCCCCTTTTCCTTTCCCCCTGAAATGTGCTCCTATAATATCAAGCGAAAAAGAGCAACTTTTCTTTAATTTCACCCAAGGCTGGCTCGCTACGCTCGCTCGCATTTAAATTTGATATAATTATGTTTCTTATCAAAGATCTCTTCAGTCTTTCATGACTAGATTGTGCTTAAGACACCACCAGGATTGTCTTTTCCTCTTTATAATATATAATATTATCGCACTGCGACCTCACAAATTTGAGAATGATTGCTCGCTTCGTTCGCTCGCAAATAGATTTTCATACCATCACTCTCAACTGCAAAGTACGTGTATGATGCTTTATAAGCAGTACCTTGAGCCATGTAAAGGAAGAAACAATGAAATCATCCCTGATAATGTTATCACAATGTAGGGGTGTATACCAATGTCTAAAAAATATGTAGGTGCCCCCCCCCCCACACTTTCAACGACGCTCCGCCGCCCCGGCCTGCTTAAACCCCTGAGTTTACGGGGGCGAACCCCATGCTAATATTACACTCTACCTGATCGTAATACTTAAGCCCCCCCCCCCCCCCCCACACGCACACTTTGAAAAACGTAGCGCGGGCCCTGCATATGGTATACATTGTAGATTATTTTTCGTCAGTAAGCCCATATACATATTCTCTGTCATCAGATCAACTTTTTAATTCCTTTGCTTGTTTGTTTTCAGGTTGGTTTATCAAATGGTATGGCGTGGACCGCAGATAACAAGACCATGTATTACATTGATTCTTTGGCGCGTGGAGTAGATGCTTTCGATTACGACATTGTCAATGGCACAATAGGTGAGGGATTTATTATTGAGCGTAACCTTTATTTACTTGTTTCCTTCTTTCTTTATTTCATTAATTTATTCACTTATTTATAAATTTCTCTTTTCTCCCAATTTATTTCTGTATTCATAATGTATCCGTTTATTCATTATTTTGTGTATATATCTAACTATTTATTTGAGTATTTATTCAGGATCTCGTAATTCAGTCGCGGCGCATTGCCCCTCTTAGGCACAGGTTACGCAAATTATTACCGTTGATAATGATGATGATGATGATGATGATGATGATGATGATGATGATGATGATGATTATGATGATGATGATGATGATGATGGTTGTGATGGTGGTGGTGATGATGATGATACTACAACTCCTTTTTACCACCACTACTACCACTACTGATAGTCTGATAATAATACTTCTACTACTCGTAATGTTATTATTACTATCAATAACAGAAAAAATGATGAAAATATGAAAATAACAATAAATTATGTGAATATACAGTATCTAGGTATTATATCTATTAAACTACTTTTGAACAATTTCTGTCAAAAATTTAAACATGAATATTAATGCTACCTTTATCAATCTAATTATCACCAGGATAATAGGACCTGTACACAAGTAATATACAATGGGATTGTCTGAATATTTCTCATTTTATCCAGCTAACCGAAGACGAATTATAACTATTCCCGAGTCGGAGGGAATTCCGGATGGGATGTGTATAGACAGCGAGGGTATGCTGTGGGTTGCTCACTTCTTTGGAGCAGCTGTCAAGAGATACAACCCGATAACTGGTGAATATTTTCGTTATCTATCTACTTATTTATCTTTCCATCGATGTATCTATCCATCTATCTTTCTATCCATCTATCCATCTTTTCATCTATTCATCTGTCCTTTTATATATCTATATTTTCATCCTTTTATATATCTATATTTTCATCTATCTCTCTA